AAATAATTCAATATATAGAAAAATCGGTATTTTATTACTTCAATGCAGATTATTAGTTATTGTAATTGTCTCATACTCCAATTAATTTGTAATTAATTGGATACTTAATTAATTTGCTAATTAATAAATCAATCAGAAAATTAATTGTTAATTGATTTGCAATTACATACTCCAACTAATTTGAAAAGTTTTTTGGAAAAAAAATTTGACGTAAATTTTTTTTAAAAATTAACCTAACAGGTTTTTCTGAAAAACAACAGATATATAAAATTTTCGAAATCAATTTCGACAATAAATATGCATTATATAGTACGTGAAAGCACCACAAAATTAATTGGAGTATGAGACAATTACAATAACTAATAGTCTGTATTGAAGTAATAAAATACCGATTTTTCTATTTTTTATCTCTCACTGGACCTTCTAGGGGCGGGAACGAATGTTTCCCCCTAAAATTATTCCTCATAAGGCACACATCCCACTAGTTTATTTCAAAATTGGCGAGTCACTCTTCCCTAGTTTCCCTTGTAAGTAAATTTCACGTTATGGGGATCACCTAATATAGACCAAAACAATACCAAAATTCTAAATTAACATTTGGAAATTTAGATACCAATTTTGGTAAATAAATATAAGAAAATGATGGAAATGTACAAATTGATCTTTATAATTCCATAGTGTTGACCCCTGTTAATAACTAGGATAATGCTTTGTCAATTAAATTTTAAATTCACTTGTAGGGTAAGAAATATTACTTGAAAAAGAGTAACTGTTAAAAGTAACAGCCATTTGTTATTTTATCAAAAAATAAATAAGAATTATAATTTGCAGATAAAAATTCTACAGCAGAATGACTTTTTAACAATGGAAATGTTGAACAAAAGTAAGAATCACAGATGAGAAAAGTACCTTTGAAGGGCCATGAAATAATTTCATAAATTAAATTTAAGAAGGATGTTCTAGCACTAAATTTTAGATCAAAAAAATTAGTATATACTTGCAAAAAAATTTAATACTTTTAAGTACTAGAATTCATTCAAAAAAAATTTTTTTTTAAAGAAAACATACATGTTCTAACAAATTTTCCCTCTTATCAGTAATTGATTTAGGAAATATATATATATATATATTGTGAAAAGTGGTCAAATTTAAAATTCATAAAGACTAATATCCTATTAAATATCAAGCAGAATTTCGTAGCAATAACCGTTGAAAAAGTGATCTAGAAACAAAATAGGCTTACAATGGAATCTGTGCAAATTGAGCGTTTTAAAAAGTGATGACTCAAATTTGCAATTCAATTTTTTTATTTTTCAAGAATAAAAATTCTTTGTGTTCAGAAGCTCCCACGGGCAGCAGGTTTTCAACCCACCTTGTGCTGGAGTGCTTTGCAATCCTTGTGGGTAATGAAAGAACCAAAGCTCCCCTATATATTCTTTGGAAAGAACAGCATACATCGACAAAATTACTGTGATCTGTGTCACCGTTGAACAACTGATATGCTTTCTAGACAAACTCACATATGTAGTCCTTCTTTCCAACTCAGCAGCTCTTTACTCAATAAAATCTGCGAACAGTCCCTCTTCTGGTGATAGATTAAATGGTCTTATGTCAATAGCTTACAACAATAGGAAAATCTGTCCTCACCAATGGGATCCCTTCTCACTGTGGAATTAAAGGCAATGAAATGGCCAATGATTTAGTCAATAATAATCCGGACTCCCTCTTCAACCTTTAAACGAGTTTCCAAAAGAAAAGTTTTCCCCAATTTTGTAGAAGCAACTGATGCAAAGAAATTCTAACAAAACGTGGAAGATTTTCGTGCCAAATAGCATCACAAACTGAGCGAGTAGTGAAGGGTGGCTCAGTTCAGGCTTTGTCGCTTACTTGTACAAATTCAAGATGGCTTCTGATCCATGCTGCTCTATATGACGAGGACAATTTGAAATTTATTGCCGCCGCGTTTTTTGTTTCAGTGCTCTTCGTGAAACAAGGTGTCGAATGAGGAAATGACTGTTTTTAAATATTTTTATCTTTGTTCTCTTGAGTTGTGTTATTTCTATCCATAGTCAATCCCCACTACCATTAGAAATAAAATGAATATTTCATCAGACGTACTTTTTATTCAAAAAAAAATTGTTTGAAATAAATTTTTACTGGGAGAAGGTGTAACAAAGTTCAAACTAAGCAAATATATAAATAAAGATTAAATAATATTTTGCATAAGACCTTGAAAAATAAAAAAAAAACGCAATGCAAACTACAGTATTAATAAAGTCACTGCCATTCATATGGCCATTTTCTGTTTCTGGTTCATTTCCTGTTTTAGAACTTAACATTTAAAAAACTTTTCCGAGCCTAATGAAAAGTTTCAATGGAATGAAAAAATGGATGCGAAAGTTTCAATGGAATGAAAAATTTTCTAATGTTTCTAATTATTTTGAAACAAGATATTCTTGAAATCAGGCTACATATTGTGTATTATTATACAAAGCAATATTTTACTGTAAAAATACCAAACAATATCTTATTCAATAATGAAAGTTAGTCTTAAACTAAATTGAAAAAAAAATGCAGAACATAATTTGTGAAATACAAAATCTTGCAAAGATGTTGTAAAACTTTATAGAGATTATGAGATTACAAGATAATGTCATAACATTGCCATGTAAGTGGATCAATAAATGAATTACCTTTAGGTTGATTTAGTTGATTCATTAGTGACTGAATAGCATATAAAGCTTGAAGTTCTAGATTTTCATTATGATCTATATACCGTGTTAGTATAGATATCCTTTTTTTCAATTTCGTAACATCTAATTCACACCCAGAAGTAGTATCTAAAACAAAAAAAATATTTAAACAAGTTTTCGAAAAGAAAAAGAATAGAATAGAAAGGATATGTACAGTTAAAAAAACCTTTTAATGCATTTTCATGCACAGCAGACACCAAGGCACGGATAAATTTAGGTTCTGTACATTCAAATACATTGGCCTGAAAAAAATTTAACTATTAGAGCATAGCAAAAGCAATTACAAATTTATAGGAAGGAAAAAATGTCAGAAAAAGTAAGTCAATGCATGAGCAGAGCTTGATTATCGGAAAAGAAATGTAATATTAAAAATAGAGTGCATAATATCGCAGACGGAAAATTCAATAGAAAGTATGAGAAATAATTATAAGACACATATAACTACTGAAAAATATATGACTACATAAAAACTGAACTTGTTTGGTACTAGGTAGCCAATGATTTAATGCAATGATTTAATATAAAAGCAAAGTTAAGCAAATGATTGATTTAATATAAAACCACATTTGCTTGATACATATTTTTGAAAGTTCTCTTAATCTTATTTATCAGATATTGTAATACTTTTTCTTCAGTCATAAAAACAGTTTTGATGGAAAAATTGGAGAAACATGGCCAATTTCAGAATCAAGTTATTAAAAATTATAGCACATATTTTTTTATTTTCTGAAACAAAAACATAATTAAAGAAAATTTATAAAAATTTCAAATATATTTGGGCATTCAGAGATAATTTTTATGCCATGCGAGATAATTTATAAAATTATGAAAATATCACCAATATTTAAATTTGCTAAGAATGATATAAATACCTTTTTATTTTTCCATATTATATGTTAAAACATTAAAGTTCTCCTCTTAACAGATTTCTAGACTTTTATACTATCAATGATTTTCAATGAAAGTGCATATTTTTGTTAGCACACTTCATATTCATAATTTTATGTAACTAATTAATACAAGAACGTTTCTCACCCTTTTTTTAAAAAAAAATTATGAAATGTTATTTAGAAAGTTGCAAAATATAAAGATATTTATTTCCGCTTTCTCCTGCAATTAATAAATACATGATTAAAAATTGAATTAATTAAGGAATAATCAATATTGCTTCATCACACTTTTTTTTGAAATTATTCAAACTTTAACCTACATATCACGAAGAATAAATAATTTAAAAAAATGCATATTTAGCTTTACTTATCTATTCCTTTACGCATTATGAATCTTTTATTGCCAAATTTTGAACTCAAAAATAAAATACATAAACTTACATCTATCCAATCAAATATTTCTTCACTTTCGTCAGTTTTTTCAAGCAAATCAAGGAGATTCTTTTTAATCTCTTCAATTGACATTGGTGTGGTAGGCTTTACTTTAGTAGGACAAATTGTGAATTCCAATTTCTAAAAGAAAGTAATACATCATAACTATGCAATTTCAAATTGTTTCTTTTCTCTCTTGTTTATGAAAATCACACGACTTACATGCTTTAGAATAAATTCATCTACTTTAGCATCGTCCCCTAAAAAGTCAGTCCACTGTAGCTTAGATTCTCGCCACAGCTCTCCAAGTTTGACAGTTCCCTGATCAAGGGGAAATTTCAATGATTAACGTAAAACTAATTTGGATACATTTCTTACATTGAATTGTGAAAAAGTAGAAACAATTTAAGACAAAACTGCTGATTTATTAATTTCAGTTAATTTTCTTCATCCCTGGCTAACAAATCATTCATATACACTGCAATAAAATCTGAAGTAACAATCAGGAGAACTAAATTCAATTGTTATAACAATTTACTGTTATTAAACAATTTATGTTATTGTCTAATAAAATTTAGCTAAATTGTGAGAGTGAAAAATAAGTGAAAGTCTCAATCTTTTTCTCACTTCCAGGAACTCTTAAACAAAATCTGCCAGCAACAAAATATATCAGATGCTGTAATATTCCATATACCTAATTATTCACCTTTTTGTGACAATATATATGCTTAAATGTGGAACATGTGCATTAAATTATGTGCATTAAATTATCAAGACACAATTGTTCATGCTTTATTCTATAATAAAGTAGATTTCATTTCTACAACACCCTCTTTCTAAAGCGATATTTTGAGCAGTTCAAATTTTATTTTGTTATAACAAAATTTTAAAAAATCATATAAAATATGTAGCAACATCTAACTAAACTATTAAAACACAACATGGATTTAGAATGGAATTCTTGTGTATCCAGAGTGCCTATGAGCGATTACTTAAATGCACACTTAGAACACCATAAAAATATACAGAAATTTTGAAACCATTACTCTAAAAGGGAGAAATCTAAGATACATCTCTTTAGCAATTCTTTTGTAACGAATCGGACTGTGGAACAAAATCTAAAGTGTATAAACCACAGGTCAGTAACTAACAGCCTTAGAATTTACGAAATTTCGCGAAAAGACATGCTCCTGCTGCGTTAGCAACTTGGATAGTAATTAACAAAAAAAAATTTTTAAACTTAACATTTTCAAAAACTTTACTTAACGATAAAATAACTAGTTTCTAATAAATATCACAGGGAAAATTGTGAAAATCATGAATTTTTTGTAATTTATAATGACAATCGACACTGCAAAGAAAAAAACATGCTTTTAAAAGATGGAAGATTCACTTTTTACAGACTGACAGATTCACTTTTACTGAATAAAAAAATGCATCTTTAAGGGCTTTTAAGGAACGTAAATAAAAAATAAGCACTTTAAAAACACTAACGCACCCTGACAACTTATTGAGGTAACCGGGTTCTATGTTGAACAGAGAAAATATGCGTTAAAAAATTAGGATGGATAAAAATAACAAAACAGATTGCTTACTCTTCTTTTAGCTGCACAATGCAGGGTTGCTGATACCAACAGTCCAGCTGTCTGGGAAGGAATACAAGGTTTTAGGACATCTTTAAGAACATCTAGAGTAAATTTGTTATCTTCTAGAATAGGCTCAAGGATCTCTCCAATGTACTCCCATATCATGGGGATATTTAGTGCAAACTCATCTATTGACTCTAACACAACTTCGAACCTATGAAATAAAAATTTGTAAAACAGGGCACTGTAATTAATAATGAAAAAGAAATTGGAAGAAGATAATTGATCTAGGACAGTTTAAAGTTGAACACACCTTTAAACTGGGTTCATACAAAGACAAACAAAAATCAAAGGAGTCAAAGATTTGAAGACTTAACGATAATATATGTTAAGTCTATTAATACATACGCATAGCTGCCAACATGGATAGGAAAAAATCCAGTAGATTTGACGAAATAGTCATGATAATTGTTGAATTCTGTACTAAATATTTTGCACATAGGGAATTCTAGGGCGTCATAAAAATAGAAAAGCTGCAATATTTTACAGTCATGATTGACATTAAACATGCGTGAAATGTTATGTATTATGTTTACTCATAATTCCGAATATTAATAGGCATTTAATTCATCAAAGATAGTTAAGATTTGTTTTAATTAATTCAAAAAGAGAGTTCTGAATAAAAATAAACTGAACATTTTTGAACAAAAAAATTTTGAACTGATTTTTAATAAATGAGGTTCACTTTATTATGTGTTAGTATAACTTACTTAAATATTCAAGCAATAATTTGTGCAAAAATTCTATTTCAATGGGGAGGAAACTTACACAATTTTAGGGAATTTTATAAAATGTACAAAAACCAGGAGAATTTTATTAAACTAGTAGAAACTAGCAAAATCTAGTAGAGTTGGCAGTTATGCATATGCAGCTATGCATATACATGTTTATATATTTTTTACACCTTGGGAAATATTATATAGAAACATTGTTCTATTCAAAGGAAAAAGATTTTATATAAAATTTAAACAAAGTTTTATTCTTAACTCTTAACATTTTATTACATGCATAAAACACACTGCTTAAGAAAGAAAAGAAAACCGAAAAATGTAATTACATCCCTTTCAAAATCAACGTATGCAGCAAACAAAAATTAATTTATCATGGCGGCCGTTTAACTATTTAAAAACGAATTAAAAACTTTTTTCACTTTAATGTACTGGACATACTGCATGGTCATGAGTTACCATCAATTTTCTGATAAATTCTAAACTTAAACCATTTTTTTATACGAATATAAATTTTTTGGCAGCTATTGCAACAAATTGAATCATAGGTCTTAAAATGTCCACATTATAACGCACGTTGATTTGGAATTACGCATTTGAGTAGTCACTTTTTGACACGGCTTGTCGATGACTATTTATGCAGCTATTCCTAATTAATCTTGATTTTTGAGTACTTATTTATCTTGTAGAGGGAATTTTGAATCTAGCATTTGAAAAAAAAATTTTTTGATGCACTCAATTTACGCCAAATTGAGTGCATCAAATTTGTATTCAAATTTATAAATTGAGTGCATCAAATTGGCGTAAATTAAGACAACCTCAATTTACGCCAATTTACGTTGTCTACGAGGTTTTGTCAATCACATTATCTTTTTCACAGCTATTGTTATGGATTTCCACTTATAGGAATACTGCCATAATTCAAGAATTCTAAACTTAGACAATCACTTTATAACAAAATTTTGTTATTACAATCTCATCTCAAATCTTTAAAAATGTATGATTTTTCACACTGTGACTCTTAATCACCAAACTCTGGATCTCGCGACCATGATTTCCAAGTTTTTTATCAATATTAAAATGGAAAACTGATAAATATCGAATGTCTGGTGAAAATCACTACAGGGTATCTGCTACATTTCAGATTTTCAAATTCCTGACTGATTCCAAGAGTTTTCATGAATTAACGAAGTTATTATTTTCTCCAGACAAAAACACAACAATAAATTTAAAAAATTTTATATTCTGCATCTGCATGTTTATAGATTCTTAATTTAAAGAAACAGAGTAAAGAAAGAGTTAAAGCAATAAAATAAATGAAAAAAGTACAAAAGCAAATAATTTTTTTCAGCAGAATTATATTCTAGAGATACTTTTCTTGTTCATCGGAAAGGAAAAAAATAATCAACATTTTTCTGTTCTAAATGAGGAATAAAAGAAATTCGCCAGTGACTTGTTTCAGTTAGAGTTTTAAATTAATAAAATAAAAATAAAAATGAATAACAAAAATTCTGAAATTACAGAAGTTCAAAAGATGATTCGTTTTAGAAATGATGTTTTTTCTTTTATTTTTTGAAAGAACACCATAATTTTTAAAGAACATGATAAAAACATTTCAAATTTTAATAAAATATGACTGTGAGTGGGGAGTTTTTTACAAATTCAGATATTTGGAATGATATTTAAAAATTTTTCAGATATTCAGATATGATTCAGATATTTAAAAATTAGATATTTCAGCGACCTAAATCCATGACTTTCCATCATTTTTTTTAAAAAAATAGTTAAAATTATAACATTTCATGACAAATTTTATTCAGCACTGAAATTCATGACTTTCCATGATTTCTCACGACTTTCACGGTGGCCCAGATACCCTGGCACTAAACAAGTGTAATTTAGCAGAAAAGCGAAGGATTCTCTTCTTGTATTAGTTACAAGAATTAGCATTACGATAATTAAAGAGTTTTAAAAGAACATTTAGTAGCTCAATATTTTGTAATTTTTGTAGTTTCAAGTACTTCTTAAGGAGTTTCAAAGGTATATAAGGACTGTGTGCACCTTGCCTTTAAAGGAAAATAGCTTGTTAAGTACTGAAAAGATGCATTTAAAAAAAATAGCTAATTGTAATTCTGTGTAAAAAATATTTAAGATAGAAATACTTGACAATACTGTAAAAAATTGTTCATTAGCATGACATTAAAGTTTTAGTCTTAAAATTTTTTGATGCTCAACTTGATTATCTACAAAAAATAAATTGAAAATAAAAAAATTCTGAATCTACCCTTTTTTATAATGATCGAAGGTGATAATATTTTGTTTGACTAAGTTAAAAAGTAATTGGCCAAGGGAATGGCGTGCTTCGACAGAAAGCTCTAAGACTTGGATGATTGCAGCATTGATGAACAAATGAATCGTACTAAGAGAAGCCAGCTCCGTGACGCACCTGATTGCTTCCTAAAAAAGTAAAAACAATGACTGGCTTATAAATATATTCTCTCAAAGATTAGAAATGAAGAGAATAGGAACCCAATTCAAAATAAATTAAAAGCAAAGGCAATGTGCGTGACCAAATTATTCTACAAAAAATAAGCACTTTTTAAGTACTTTTCTAGCACTCAAAAAATACTTTTAAGCACTTTAAAAAACTATCATAGTTAGGCATGGCTGGAAAGTTTTTGACAATTGACGGTTTTATTTTGTTTCAACCGTCATGTAAAAAAAAAAAAAAAAAAAAAAACTTTTGGCATTGTCAAAAATCATGAAATTTTGAATCATGTAAAACGAATGGCATTTCCATACACTAGGGACTGACTATACGCCGAAATAGATTGGGGTTGAATTAATCGTGAAGACGTTGAATAGAACAATGTGAACTGTGTCTGTTTGCATAATTTGTAGCGAAAATCAACATGGAAAAATCTCATTTTGAAAAAGGGAAAATTAAGCAATTTTTAAAAACGCTATGAACCCTGAAAGGGATCAGTAATTTTTCCACCGAAACAAAAATTAAAAAAAAAAAGTTAATGTTTTTTTTATTGCATTGAGTATCTCACATGTAACAACAAATTTCCATTTAATTTAATTATGAGAAAGCTATCAATTAAAACTAGGAAAAAGTCCAAATGGGCTTGGGTAAATTCTTTCCCAATGCATTCTTTCAGTTTAATAATGAAGAATTATAACTATAATATTTCTAAATTATAACTGAAAGTTAACTCTCACATACCTCAAAATCATTATTATGTAAAAATTTATCAATAAGGTGTCTAGCTTTAACTTCCATCTGATCTATATTATATTCTGGACCTTTCAACGTAAGTTCTGGAAAAATAAAAGGCTAGAGGTTAATGACCAATACTTTATTGCTAACATCAACAGCTTTTGAAAAAGTTAAAACATAAAAAAATCACAAATAAGCGAACCCATTGAATCAGTTCCTTTGCCAATGAGCTGGGGTTCAGGATTCTTTTTCATTTCAGTAGCTTTAGTCTCACTAGAGGTACCATCTCTAATGGACCCTTTCACTGCTTCTATCACGTTATCTCTTTCATTAGAGTTAGATGGAGTTTTCCCTATGGCAGGAGGCAGCTGCGTATTTTGCCCATGACTAGATTCACGACTTGATGCAGCCGATCTGATGGGGGAAAAAAAGGCGAATTTAAGTTACATGATGAAATGCGAATGTTACAAAAGATCCTTGTGGCAGAAATGTTTCGAGCTATCTGTGACTAAACTCTCAAGCACTATTATCTTTGTGCAAGATACTTTTAATAATAGCAAACATATATATGTTATTATATTAAAGTAACAAAAGAGCTGTGTTTGCAATAAAAAGGTATTTTTTTTTAATTGAACATGAAATATTTTTTTATTTTAACACTAAGGGTGATATTCTCGTATATTGTAGGGAGGGGGGGGGGAGTACAAATTACTTGTACGTTTTTCCAAATTATCAAATTTCGTAAATAATCATCACAATTGAAAAAGATAATAAAAAATCATGCAATCTGTAGTAGTAATTGCCGAAAAAAAGATCGACGACAAAATCACACGAATCAGACTCCTCAAACGCGTGCATGGTATAAAAAAATATCGGATTTAAAAACTATGGAGAAATCAATAGCAATAACCACCAAAAGTTTGATATAGTTATTGCATTAACCCCTTGAGGACAGGTGATTCAGAAAAGCATTCGTACAAAATCAGGATCAGAATGTAATTAAATAAAAAACTGTAACTTAAATGTTGTCGTTTCTAATTTGACAGACTTACTTTGCTTTTACTTTAATTATTGTTAGTTTAATCATATATATAATCAATGTTAATTCAGAGTGTAACTAAATAGTTTTATTTTGAACAAAGTAATGGTGAATTAAAAAAAATCAAACAATTATAACTCCGCCCACAAATAAACTGCTAAAGAATTACTTTGATTACCAGTTTTATCCTTTTACCCTGGTTAATACGGGTTTATGCTGGCGCGTATTTGTGAAAGTCGGCGCAAAAGGGTTAAAGAGTAAATACTCAAATGTACGATCCAAATTTTTCCATATTGTTTGAAACATATCGGGAAATTTAAAAAGCACATGAAAATCAATACCAATAACTGCTGAAAATACAATAGAAACATAACACTGATTTACGATATTATCGGTATGATTATTATGGTGATTATTATGATTGCATGATTGTTATAAATTATTACGTGTAAATTTCTGTAGAAAAGGAAAGTAAGATTCTTAACCTTTCCAAATAAAAAACCTTTCGGTAAAATCTCTGTTACGTTCTGCGATAATATCACTGCAATTCTGCCATGGGGCAAAGAATTAGTAAACTATTAAGTTCTTCTTCTGTTTTCATTAAAACTAGGATTAGAAGTTTGCTTAGTCAAAGCAAATTATCTGTTTAAAAAAATTGAATATTTAACATGTTATAAAAAATTATAAAAAAAGTTATTTCAACAGCCGAAAACTCTTTCCATTTTATTTCATTTTTTAATCTTTTCATTCGAGACTAGAGTTTTTCAGGTAAAAATGAGCGTTAGATCGTATATTAAAGGAAACAAATTGAGACTTTAAAATCTGTGCACAAATAATCCTAAACACTTCTTTGTTGGGAAAATGAATTATGAGAAAATCTGCACAGATTGAGGATGTAAAGACTAATATGGAATTTAGACCAAGTCACAGCTGTTTGGAAACTTAATTAAAAAAATACAGGATTTCAAAAATAGTGTAGAAATTATTAGCAATAACAAAAAAAAAAGTGCAAATCAAATACTCAAATGAGTTTATGCGAAATTTGCATGTGAAACTTTATAAACCGTGTAGAAATCAGGACAGGGTATCGGCTAAATCTGGAATTTTTATATCCATGACTTCTACCAAACACTTTCCATGACTTGCGCAGTTTAATACCTTATTACTCAATATAGTCAAAAGAAGATCGCAATGAGTGCAATTTTCTACCTTAAAAATAATATTCTTTTACATTTTTTAAATTGAACAAAACGTAATAAAAAAAGAACTGAACAAACAATAACAGTAAAAAATAATCCAGCAGTTGAAGGTAACAAACATGCAATATTTTAAAAATATTTAAATATGCATTTTAAGAACATTTACAAAGCTAAAATTTTTTAATCTGATAAAACTCAAATGTGCTATTTTCAAAAGGTCAATTCTAGGGATTGTGTTAATTTAATTTCAAAGAAACAAAATTATTAACATCATTTCACGTACTATCAAATTACAATAAATATATAAAGAGAGAAATTTAAACTAAATAAAAAAAGGCATTTCAAATATAACCAAAAATATTATTTTTCAAACTGAAATCATTTGTACAATTAAGATTTACTAAAATTTTTTAAATATTTATTAGGCTTAAAACATTTTGTTTAATAAATGTTTTGTTTTAATATAAAAAATGTAACTTTAATTAAACTACATATAAAAAATAAAAATATATTAAATATATGTTTATTAAGTTATATGGTATTAGATACAAGAACACACTTATAATTAAACACAAACACTTCAAACTATCTATCATTTATTTTTTAGGCTTTTTTTCTTTTTAAACATTATGTTTATATCATAAAAAACTGCTAAATATTTGATATATATATATAANCTTTTATATGATGCTTATGTCAAATGAAATCAAAATAAATAACAAATTAAATTTTAAATCTAACTCTTAACAGGAAAAAATTTTTAACTAGAAGAATGTTGAAGCCAAAACCAGCATTGTCAAAAATTAGTATAACAAAAATTTTACAGTTTTAAACATTTCAAGTTCACATAGAATAATAAATTGTTCATAGAATAGACCACGATGAGGGTTTTTTACGAAACTAATTACAATGATTTTTAAATCACATAGCGATGTTTGATATTTAAATTATGCGATATAAATCCCGTTATATGGTTTTTAAATATTTTGATTAAAAATGTCTATGTGTGATTTTTAAATCGTGCAAATTCTGATCATGTTGTGCTATTCTTTAAATTGCACGACGCGGATTGTGGTGCATGATTTTTAAATCACATCAATACAAAGCATGATGTGTGATTTTTTAAAATCACATAGATAGCACTATGTGATTTTTAAATCACACTACTACGGATTACGATGTGTTATTTTTTAAAATTACATGAATGTGGTTCGCATTCATGTAATTTTATGTAATTTTATGTAATTTCATATCATTTCCAATTTTTAAATTGCACCAATGGATCTGGTTGCAGAAATTTTTAAATTGCACGAATACGTATTGCACTGTGTGATTTTTAATTCATGCGAATTCAAATAGTGATGTATAATTTTTAAATACCCCAAATCGATGACGAATTGGGAGTTTCCACGACAATTTTCAATTAAGGACGAAATCAATGAATTTCCATGATTCTCAAAGACTTTCCACGTGCGTGGATACATATGTCAGTACAACTAATTACAGGAAGAAAAGAAAACAAGAAAGCATTGAATATAAATAGGAATCAATCGAACATATCAAAGACTGATTGGTCAATTGAAAATTTGCATGTGTATAATGACAAAGTATTAAAAATGATATAAAAATCCACAGCAATAACTGTCCTGAAATAAAAAGAAACATGTGAAATAAGTTGCTGGGAAATCAGTGGTATAAAATAAATATACAAAAGAGTTCATTCAAATATAAACGTTTATTAAATAGCGTCGTAATAAAATAAAATAAAAAAAAATTATGAATTAAAAAAAAACATGTAGAAATCTTCAGCAATAATTTCCAAATGAAAAGACAATGTGAAATATGTTGGAATCACGTATCTTTACAGGCTCAATCTGTTCAGATTCCACGTGGTTCTGTAGACAGTTTTTCCAACAAGACATTGTTTTGAATTTGTACACAGGCTTCAAAAACCAAGATTATTTTCCTTTTAAATATGTTTTTCTAATACATTATAAAAAGCCTACATTTGAGTTACCACAATGCAGGAAATAAAAATTTCACGTACTGATTTCAAAAATACGGAATATTTTCAGAGATACCAACTGCTCCGGACACGCCAAAATAATAAAAAAAAGCGGTAAATGACTACAAAGTAAATTTTGCAAATATTTGACTATTTTTGCTTGCTTTTTAAAAGGTATAGCATGACATGGGTACTAGAAAGTGGTGAATTAGATAAGCCTACGAGCTATTTAGAAATAGTGGTGGATAAAAATCTACTAAATTGAATTTATTAAACCAAGAATCACAATTGATAAACTACCACTTTAAAATATATATTTGCTGTCCGGAGCAAGTTGGCATCTCTGTATTTTAGTCCGGACACTGAAAGGCGAAAAACGGGGCAGAAATGCGAGAAAATTTTCGCAAAACATGGAAAAGTTGGCAGCTTTGTTTTTCAAATTTATAAACATATAGAAAATAAAAATGTTACAACGCATAGAAAATAAAAGTTATTACCTGTTTGTCAGAGCTGTTTTCTCAGGATCGAACGAACCTGCAGGAGTCTTGGTACCATCACTGCTACTTCGACGCCAACTATGCATTACTCTTCCTGGTCCAAGCCTTATGCCATCTACTTCATCAGGCTACAAAAAGAAAAAAAAAACATAGATTCTTCTATCTTCTCAGTAAAGACACATAATTCTGATTCTGTGACACCTTATTTAAATTAATTAAGTAAAACAATATTCTTTAAAAACAAATGCACACAAAATAAAAATAATCACTAGTGCAGAAGTCATAACAATGAAGTCAAGTTCGCTTTGTTTTAAGTTCTTGTAACCTAAAATCTTTTAAAAACACACTCATTAGATTTTCTATATTTAATTTAATTGCTTAGATACCCCTTATTTAATCAAAAATAAAATGGTAAAGTCATTAAGTGCAACATTTAAGTTCTCTACACTGGAAAATGTAAATTTTCCACATGACCCAAAATATTGTGACTTACAAATGTGTATATTTATATATCTGATTTACTCTAATTAAATTAGTTAAATTAGTTTAAATAATGGTGGGCAAAGTTCATTTATTCAAATACATTGACATATAAATGTTGCGACAGCTAAAATATTTTCTGAAACTACTTAAATTCCTTGATAGTTGAAGGGTAAGAATGAAACGTTAAATTTACCTCTACATTAAATATTCCAGAAAAATCTCTTATTAATATTAAAGAAGTTAGAGTTTGATAAGAGTTAGAATAGATAATAATTAAGCTATTTAACAGAGTTTGTGAAAATAATGTTCATTGTGAAAATTTAGATTTGAAAAAATACAAAATGCCATAAAAAAATATCTGGTCTGAGAAGTATATATATATATA